GGCGACTTGAATCTCTCCAGCTTGAAGATTCTTCTGCTGGTCCTCTTCTCCAGCCACCTTCATCCCTGGGTCTTCTGAAGCGATCCTCTCGGTCCCCATCTCTGTCTCTGTCCCTTTCTCGGTCAGGGTCCTTGTTCTCCTCTCGATCTTGACTGTGTCTATCCTTCTCTTTGTCTCTTTCCCATTCACGTTCTTCTGATGGTCTTGATTCTTGAGGTGGACCCCAACTCTCTTCTCTAGCCTTTTCTTTCTCTCTCCACCCACCTGGCTTGACAAATGGGATAGCTCAGCCGTTAAAGTGTGGTCAATTTTAGAGAAGGTACCAAGGAGTGCTGAGAAGGTATAGTGAATTTCATTTTATTTTCTTTTTTTAAATAGAACAATACACACCTTTATTACATGAGCTATGAATGATGCTTTATTTATTTGCCTTTCCGGGCTTTGATCTTCCTCAGATAGAACTCCAGCTCCTCGCCTTCTAGCACACAGCCGTCTGCTCGGCCACACTGGCCTGGTCTTGAGGCGATACAGGCAAGAAGCTTGCCCTGCTGGAACTGCTCCTCCAGAAGACTGCTGATTTTAGCGTTCTTTTTCCTTTCATCATATTTCTTTTGGTTTTTCTTTGATCGTTTTTTGTTTAATATTTCTTCCTCTTCAGGAGTCAGCTTGGCCCCCTTCTTGCGGCCCAGGGGCAGCGCATAGTGAGACTCATACCACTGTCGGTATGGTGTGCTGTCAATAAGGATGATGCAGTTCTTCACCAGGGTCTTGGTGCGGAGCAGCTCGTTTTTGGATGCATTGTAGACAACATCAATGATCCTTGTTTTCCGAGTACAACACTCAGAGCCCCAGGAAAAGTTCCCCACTTCCAATCTTAGGGCACGGTACTTCTTGTTGCCTCCTCGGACTCGGACTGTGTGTATACGACGAGGGCCAATCTTCATGTTGGCAGCAGGCCATCCCAGCTCATACTTCTGCTTCTTGTGGTAGGGCTTTCTCTTACCCCCGGTTTGCGGCGCTTGTGCCAGTTGTCTCAAGAGATGCCCATCGCTCGGCACTGGCTGGAAAGAGCGAATTTCATTTTCTTTTTTATTTTATTTTACAATATTATTCAGTTCTACAGCCACAGATTCCCTTGTTCTCTCCCTTCCTGTCCCCCTCCCCTTTCCCCCAGCCCACCCCCCATTCCCACCTCCTCCAGATCAAGGTCTCCCCAGAGGACTGGGATCAACCTGATAGACTCAGTCCAGGCAGGTCCAGTCCCCTCCTCCCAGATTGAGCCAAGCGTCCCTGCATAAGTCCCAGGTTTCAAACAGCTAACTCATGCAACGAGCCCTCTGAATAGGTGAGACAGTCGATTGGCTTGATCTGTTTGGGAGGCATCTAGGCAGTGGTACCGGGTCCTGGAATAGTAGCTTTTTTAAACAGCAAGACAGGATAAGAGGCATTCTGTGCTGTATGGAAAAGGCTGTAGACAGGTGTATGCTGGAATGTGCTAAGTAGATCAGTGGTGCTTCAAACTAGCACTGTATGTTTCTTTTGCTCCTCACAGTGAGCATTGTGTACATACATTCTTTTCTTGGCATCAGTACTTTGAGTTTTGGGCCCCCTATGTTGCTTGAACCATGAGTGTCTGTCATAGGTAGAGGTAGTTTCAACAATGAAGCAGAGAAAAAGTGGAAAATCATTGGGATGCAAAAAGTTGGGAAGCTGTGTGATGTGGTCCTGGCTGCTGTATAGGAGCTCTGAACTCTTATTTGTGGCATAGTTTTCTCTCTAAAGTTATCTTCTTTCTCAGTGTGAGGACTTTTACTTCCTGCTTTGCTGTTCCCTGAAACTTTAGGGTAAAGTTGACTTTTCCCAAACAGACTTTTACATAGTAAAAGGAACAATTACTATGCACTTGGTTATGTAGTGAGTGCTTTATACAATGTACCTCCAGGACTATACACTTGGTTATATGATGTTTTATATACAATTCTTCCTGTAACATTTCTTGAGCTGGACATAGGCTTCCCAGTGCTTCAATTGGAACACAGTTGTGGAGAGGTCAGCTAATACCCAAGGTTAGGTCTGTACTTAAAACATATAAAGAAGAAAATATATTTCAATGTTTATTGAGTTCTCAGAATTTCAATCTACAAGTGAAAAAAAGTATGGTGTGAAGAGCTAACTAATATGTGTGATGGTAATAATTTTTAGCTTGTGCAAGATCTCCTTAAAATATAATTAATAGGTATTTTGTGTCTCTTGCTGAAAGGTTTGTTTTATTTATTAAGGGTATACACATGTGTATAGTGTTCTTAAAGTTAAAGTAACATGTTTTTCTTTCTTTAACACTATGGGGGGCAGTAATACATATATTTCTAAACCAGTAATACCTACATGTTTGACAAATCACACATTTAAATAATGATCAATCAAGAAATTAATTTTTACCTCTGTAAATAGAACACACTTTCTCAGAAAGTGGCAGAATGAATTATGTGTTTATTACATAGCTGCTTCTTATTTTTAAATACTGGTTAATCCCATTAAATTATGTATCTGGTATAATTAGATTTAAAAGGCTCCAAATACATGCTGGGTATTGAGAGTGACTTTCAGTAGTTTGGAAATGTGAAACATGGAGCTACATCAAGAATCTGAAATTCTTTGGAAGCAGTGTTTCAAATTCACCTTAACTGTGGATTTAAACACAGGTAGAATTTTTGAGACCTTCTTTTCTCAGACCTCACAGTATTCGCTCCGCATAGCAACCAGAGACCTACAAAGTATTTCTTTGCTTTTCTTCTTACCTTTTCCCCATTTAGTTTTAGACAGAGTCTGCATTATATATCTCAAGCTGACCTGGGGCTCTCTACGTAGCCCAGGCTGGCCTCAAACTTACACTAATCCTCCTGCCCCTCTTTATATCTCTGTAGTGTTGGTGTTATAGACATGAGTCACAACAATCAACTGTGCTTTTTTCTTTTTTAAATTTTCTCCCCTTCGGTCCCTCCCCACCCCTTATCTCAGTCTCTCTCCTCCCTTCTTCCTTCCCACTCATCCTCTGCTTTCTCCTCCTCCCTTCCTCTCTCACCTCTCACTTATCCCCTCCTCCCCATTCTTTCTTCAAAGACTTCCACAAAAGAGACAAATACTCTACCTGAGTTAAAGCTGCAGCCCCATAGAAGTGTCTAGTACTGTACAGATATAGATACAGTTTGCATTTCAACAACAACAACAAAAAAACCCATGACCTATTCGGTACCGACTTTGTGTTCCTTACAAACATATTTCTTGATTATTGGCTTCTTATTATATCTTCCAGTCTCATAGTCATATAATGTGGAGTGGACCCTTGTTGCACATGGGGTGTCTTCCCTTCTCTGTTGTTTCATTGTATGGTAGCTGTAGGTCTAAAATTGAGTTTCTTACATATATGATCATCTGTTTTTATGTTGGTTTTGCATACAGCTTTCTTTTATTATGGTCACAGTTTTGTGTTCTTAACCCTCAATAAAATGGCCAACACCAGTATTTAAGGATTTAATAAATGTCTGGAGTCTGAAAGACTGTGTAGATTAGAGAATGAGCTGGAGATGTTAGAGATTCCATTAAGATAGTTACTTAGTTTGGGATTTAGTTTCCTTTCATTTTAGAGTGCATTCATTGAGCACCTAGCAAGAAACACCACTGTCTGTGCACACACACACACACACACACACACACACACACACACACACACACAAATTTGGATAAGAAGAAACCTTGCATTTAAGATGATCATATACAACTTTATGTAAGTGTGAATTATGTTATGATGGTGATGCCTAGTATAGTAGCAAGAAGTGGAAATAATTTCATAAGTACTGTAAAGTACTATAAATACATTGTACTATAAAGTGAAAATAAATAAAATGTTGACTGTGGGACAAATTAGGAAGATCTTGTACACTGAGTTGTTAGAACTGTAAACACACAAGGTGTATCAGTTACATTTCTATTACTGCAGTAGAAACCACGACCAAGGTAACTTATAGGAAGAAGGACTACTTTTTTATTTATGGTTCTGGAGGGATAGAAGGCTGTCACTGCCAGGAAGTATGGCAGCAAACAGCAAGAAAGCATGGCTGATGGATTGGAAGCTGAGGTCTCATATCTTGAACTTCAAGGAGGAAGCAGAGAAAGTGAACTGGCAACAGTGTGTGTCTTTTAAAACTCAAAGCCTGACCTCAGTGACATACTTCTTCCAGTAATGTCACAACTCTAAATCCTATCCAAATAGTGCCATTAACTAGGCAGCAGGTATTCAAACACCTGAACTTATGGGGGGCATTCTCATTCAAATCACCATGCAAGGATACCCACTACACATGACAGATAAAATAGTAGTTTCCGTGTGAGGTTAGAGAGATAGCTCATTTCTTATGAGCACTTGTTGTTCTTGGAGAAGACTGGGATTTAGTCTCCAGCACACATGTGGTGGCTTACAACAACCTGTACTCAAATTATAGTGGTTTCAATGTCCTCTTCTAGCATCTACAGGCATCAGGAACTGCATGTAGCATAAATATACACATTCAGGCAAAACACAAATACATTTCAAGTAAACTATTAAAAATTTAGTTTTAGTGGAAATTAGAATCAGAAAATATCTGTTTGTGTTGATCCTATTTGCAAATGTATGGAGCCAAACTCTACATTGCACCCAACTCAGTTTCTTTTCCTTTTTTTTGGTTTTTTGAGACAGGGTTTCTCTGTGTAGCTTTGTGCCTTTCCTCAAACTCGCTTTGGAGACCAGGCTGACCTTGAACTCACAGAGATCCACCTGCCTCTGCCTCCCCAGTGCTGGGATTAAAGGTGTGTGCCACCACCAACCAGCTCAACTCAGTTTCTAAATGGCACTTAAAAGCTGTTGTTTAATGATAAATATGGCAACATCAATTTTGCTGATACCTTTTAATTTTATTTTGAGAGTAAACAAAGATATGTAGATGACAATAATAGTACTCATTTGGATGCCATACAATAGGATGCTTATTAATTTTGTGCTTAGTCACTAGGTAACACTAGTGCAACACTTTGCCAGCACTTAGAATGATATTCCTACCACATTGCAACCATTATCATATTACAGATGTTTCTACAGGAATGCAAAGAAGTACAACACAACCAAAGGATATAAGAAATATAATGTTGAGTTCAGTAACCAGAATAGTCTGTGATTTTACCCCTTAGTTGGGTTGCGTCAATATTTTCACTCTTTATAGTAGCAAAAATTTTGATTATGGGTTTTATACATTAGTGCTTTCCATTTCATTTCTCTAATTGTATATTTTATAATTCACAGAACAAGGCAATTAGTACTGTTTAGTCAGAGGCAATGCTAGAAGCTGTTGGCCATGAAGAGTAAATTCTTGACAGTATGAATGATTTAATATTTCATAGATTCTTTGAAAACTACTGGCTCTGGATTTTAGATATTGGAAAAGCAGTTTATTTTTGCTTCTGAAGGGAATGTGAGGAAAACAGATATATCCACTTTATAGATTTGTTATAATGGTTAAATTAAATAAGCAACATAAAACACATAATCATATCAGGCATAAATAAAATGCTCAATAAGTACCAGCTATTGCCATTCTTTAAGGTAAGAGCCCTGATGTATGTAGCCAATCTCCTTTATCTGAAAAAAAAAATGTTTAGTAACACAATTGTTCTGTAGAAGATAGAAAGCAATGGGTATTCAAAACCACCTGGGAAAGTTCTGCCGTCATTAATGAGCTTTACTTTTAAAGTCCTCATCTACTATTGAAAACATAATTGCACCATTCTACTAAAAAACTTTATTCTAGTTGACTGTCTATTGTGCCTGAGAAAAATACATTATTCTAGACCTAGTTCTAGTACTGGTCAAGTTTATTTTTTTAATTTTATAATTTAATTTAATTTTACATATCAGCCACTGATTCCCTTGTTTTCTCTGCCCCCCCCCCACATTCCCCCCAGCCCACCCCTCATTCCCATCTCCAGGGCAAAGACTCCCCTGGGGATTGAGTACAA